TGTGTGTGTGTGTATATATACACACACACACACACACACACACACACACAAAATTTAATCTGACAAATTTGCCTTATACAATACAGATCTAGTGATAACTTCTTGAATTTTTATTCATTTCATATGGCATGAAGATGTTAGTAATACATACTACCTTTTTAGTTTTGCTGCGCCCTGATAAAAGTGCTATTATTTTAGAATACAATAAAGATCTAGTGATAACTTCTTGAATTTTTATTCATTTCATATGGCATGAAGATGTTAGTAATACATACTACCTTTTTAGTTTTGCTGCGCCCTGATAAAAGTGCTATTATTTTAGAAATTGTTTGCAGATTTTTTTTTCTAAGCTGTTCAAATCATTCTATATGCACGTTGGAAACTGTTCCATCATGGGGAAGGCAGTGCCTTATTGATGTTTCTGGGTTCTCTTACTATTGGCCTTAACTTTTCTTATGGGTACAAAGGTCACCAGGGCAGTTTAGATGATTTCTTGTACATCTACATCACAAATATGTTTTCTTTTCAGAAGATGCCTGTTCTTTCCTTTGAGAGGCCCTGTTCATGGTGTCCTTGAGAACTGGTGGGGGGGTTGTGTGGTCTCCTTCCATGATCCTATAGACCATGGACAGTATTCACCAGTAACTTCATATGCATGGTAACAGATCCAAAAGCCCACTCATGGTATTGGGTAGAATCCTGAAAATAATTTTAGAATTAAATCCTTAAGGATAGTTATTTCTTTTAGTGGAGTTACTTCCATGAAATATGCATAGGATTGCAACTTACGCTTCTTAAACATATTTACTACTACTAATAATAATAATGTAATAAATAAGTAAATATTAACTATTTCCTAAATAGTTTATATTTACTTATTACATTATTATGAAATCCCTGAAAAAATAAAATTCCATGTTGTTATGAGTTGACTCCATGTTTCCTTTTTAGAGATTTTGCTTTTCAAATTCTTAATTTCATTTTAGAAATATGAGGCAGCAATCAGGCATGTGTTCCCATTCCCTAGTCCCCTGCAGATAAATTCTACATTCTTTACCTACAGTTAAGGATTATAAAAATACTGGTCTTAATTGCAAGCAATGCCTCCCATATTCCCCACTGGTCCAGGTTTTAAGATGATTTAAATAACATTAGAGGACACAGCTTTGTCTTAGCTGTAGTGAAGTTTTATGGATGCATCTGCATCCTCTGGTTGAGCTGAGAGTAAGGGAATTTGTTCTGCGGACTTGCTGGAAGGAGAGAGGATGTAATCATGCAGCTTGCTGCTTGTTTTGTAGGTTTCAGACCAAGTTACTAAATTAACCTTATAAATAACATTGAATGTGAAATCTACTTATCCATGATAAGAGTTGGATATAAACAAACTTCCACGCAAAAAGCATTTTGTTTCTTAAACAAGCATTCCCTCATGAATGATTATTGCTTTGTCGTTATCATTTTCCTGCACTAAAGGTAATATTGCCAAAAAAAATTATTTTTGTTTTAAAATGAATTTTAAAAGTCCCAGTTAGTTGCCACCAGAAGTTTAATTATTTCTCTGAAGATTAATTACAGGACCTCTAATAGCAACACATGCTGCAAACACAGTACTTGTAGTTGAAAACAGCAAGTACTACTGTTGAGCTCCAGTTTTTGTTCTTATCTTCGCAATCTTTTATCCATTGATAGTTTATACTCATATTTCAAAATCGATATGGGCTTCATGATTGATTATTTATTTCCCTAATAAAATAGAACCACCTTTTTCAAGACCAAAGAATTTCCATTTAATAAGAATGAATGAAATTACTCTTGATTAGAATTGGTGCAAACTACAAAGCATAATGAGTATGGAAGAACCCTCTAATGTTTTTGATTGGGTGCAGGCAAGCCTGTGCTTGTATGTTTCTAGAGAATATATTACTGGGCCTTTCAAGGCAGTATGTAATGACCTCTTATGCAAACCCCACGGTATTGTACTGCTTCCTAATTTTTCTATTTTTTATTATTTGCTTTTGGAAAGTTAAGAAGTGTCTTACTTTCAGTTCAGCTATTAGAAGTATAGCCAGCCTATAGGATTGCTTATTACTCATTCTAAGTCTACAATATATATAAACATTTGGTACAATATATTTAAACATTTCCTTTAAAATTATACAAATTAACACATCCCATTTATTAGGAAAAGAAATATCAAAAAGGGATCTACATATTGTTTGATAATATCTCTTTTCATATAAGATGAAATACCACTACCAAAGAGGTAGGCTGCTGTTTGACGGCTGAGGTCTCTTCAGCTATGGAAACTGTGGCAACAGAATAAAAGCTTTACCAACATTATTCAGTTGAAGATGTAATTCTGCTTTGTACAAATGTGACTTTTTTAGGTCCTAATCAGAAATAGTTATGTGCATTTATTTAACTTGGTTTGAAATAGAGATTTAAATCAGAGTTTAATTGTAACAGAAATTCAAATTTTTGCTATTTTGGCTGTAATTATTTAAAAGGGTTTTGCATTAAATGCTCCACAGTTAATATCTGGCAAATTTATTTATTTGTTCCACACCATTTATATGTCACCCTTACTGTAGATGCACACCACAAAACAACTTAAATCGGTTTAAATAAGTTAAAGCCATTTATTAGGACAAGGATTAATTATACTGTATGTCAAGCTATTATTTTTTAATTTTTTTTTTTAATCCATTCAGTTGTGTCCAATTCTTAGAGACTGCCTGGACAAGTCCCTGCAGTTTTCATGGCAAGGTGTTTCAGAAGTGGTTTGCCATTGCTTCCTTCCTAGGGCTGAGAGAAAGTGACTAGCCAAGGTCACCTGGCTGACTTCATGCCTAAGACAGGACTAGAACTCACAATCTCCTGGTTTCTAGCCTGATGCCTTAACCACTACACCAAACTGGCTCTTTATTTTAAAAGTACCTCTACCCTATTGTATATTGTATATTTTTATTTTATAATATATTTTATATTGTATATTTTAAAAGTATCTCTACCCTATTGTATATTTATTCCCGTCACTGAAAATATGTATCAGCTTTTGATGAGTTTGCAGTACCAGAAGTTCTAGATATATTTAAGTAGCTGGATATTTTCAAAAAAAGTTCAAATAACTCACAGCTTGGATGCAATATTAGAAGATATTATTCTGTTTTGTTTAGCAGAAATGATCAGGTGCATTTTAGTAATGCCTTTTAAATGTTCTCTTCCTAGGCTTTAATCCATGGGCTGAACAGACATTACTATTCCATTACTATCAACTACAGGAAGAATGAATTAGAACAGAAGGCAAGCTCTGTTTTTCCTAGAATATTTTCAGTTACTAACAACAATAAAAAATATTTTTTCACTTTGATTCTTTATCTCAGCAGGGGCATTTTTCTGACCAAGAGTTACCAAGAATGGGACAGTGTTGCCCACATATATTGGGCTGTGGTTTGGGGTTTTTTTTTAACTACCTTAAGGTATTTTTCTTTTGTATCAGTGTTTTTAAAATTATATTGAACCTATTTTCGGGATTTTACTGCCATTATACTGTATTCCTCTCCATCTGGTAGGAAGGTGCTGTTGAAATTTAGCAACCGTAATTGGAGAGACTTTGGGTGACCCAATAACTCAGAGTCTCCACTTCTGCCTAATGTCATGAAGCTGATCCATTGTCACCCCAAATAAAGTCTCAATATGAACTCTGTGTAGAACGCAACATTTCTTCCAGAAGGCATCCGCATGCATAAGTAGTGAATGTGCTAGTAAATAAGTGGTTGGCAAAAATCAGTCTTAGACAATTTATGAACATCTTTGTTTAAATTATGATAAAAATATGGCTATTCTATTTTTAAAGCTACATGTTTCTGAAAGCTATTTTCTGTTTCTGTAGTGCTATTACAATGAATCTGTTAATTTTCTTGACTTTATTTATTTTTAAAAGCATATACACTCTTTTCTTATATTGCTCAAACCTGCTTACACAATTCAAGTTACCAAGCCAGCTTATCCATATAATCCATCCAAAAATAATTCAGCTATTCTTGAATATTTACAACCAACAAAACATATAAACAGCAGCAATTGATTGAAGATTTATTCTGTAAAGCATTTTAGGTACAGTTTACAAGCCTTCTTGAACACTTGCAGGGCTGAGCGCTGGTAGCTTTGCTCAAGGAATCTCTTGTGTAATATCAGGGCCACCACTATCATTCTTTTAAAAAATAAGATTAGGGTTTTTCTTTCATTTTCTGAGGTAAGTTCTGGGAACGGTTGTTAGATCAGCCACTTATAAGAAATTGTGTTTCACAAGTTATAACTGCAGGCATACTTTTCTATCTACAATTCCAGTAGTCTTATTAAAAACATAACTCTGTATATGTTTTTCCAAGTTTGCTCATTCTTCTCAAATGCAGACGTTTGTTTTAGTTTTTATGCCCACAATAGATTCCATCTGTTCATGATTAAAGTTGATTTTAGAGACATCGTAACTGTTCAAATACCTTTCTGTGCTAATTATCTTTATTAGAGAATGTAGACATTAACTAAGGCCATTGTTCAGTCATATGTGTTCAATAATGTTCTTGAAGGTGACAGATTCAAACAGAAAGCAGTCTTCTCATTGGGAGCTCAATTGGGCTTGCAAGAATCAAGTTATAAGGTCTTTGCTGCTTCAAATTCTGGCTGCTGTAGTAAGCACAGGAGGGCAGTTTTGATGAAGTAGGAAATGGCTGTGTGAGCTTAGATGCTGTATGGGATATACCTGCACTTTCAAGACATGAAAAAGTGACATTTGAACTGGTTCTTTTGCGTCTTGGTTTGTACAGCACACCTTTTTTTTTTCCCTCTGCATTCTGGAGGTTGGGCTTTAAAATTAACCTATGGAAATGTTACTTTGGTTCATTGCACTGCAGACACTTTTATAAAGGTGATAACAGTAATTGTCAAGTGCGATAAAAAAAGGGTTTAAGAAATGAAGACTATTTTCATTTACTTATGCGGCCTTTGCCCAGTGTCCTGGCATCCATTTTTCCTATATCTTCCTTGTCTGTATTCATGATTTCATACTCATGACTGAAAATAGGACTTCTGCCGTTTTAACACCAATTATTTATTGGAAGCTGATAGTCTGGCAAAAGGCCTAAAACCACATGAACCCAAACATGTTTTAGCACTCAATCATGTCTTCATAAATCCCCCTATGAGTGTGGGTTCAAATTTCACAGTGACCTTACAGAGCAAACAATTTTTATCTTATCAGATGGACTCAGAGGGAATGGATATTCAAGTCTATGATGAGCTAATCTATGAGACAGAAAAAGTTATTTGAGGTAGCCTATGTAATTCGGGCTTGACACCAATTTTCTAAATCTAAACTCTCCCATACTAGAAACTTTTGTGTTTCTTTGTATTTGTTATGATAAAGCGTAATTGACCTAAGTTTAGTTCCATATTCTGCCTTCTGTGGACAAAACACTTCTGGTACAGCACTGGAATTTTGTTCTCCCTTGAAATGAAGGCTTCAGCAGTCTTTGTAGTTTTCCTGTTGTTGTTTTCCCCCACGCCTCTACTTTAAAGAATGGAAGGCGGAATCTCTAAAAAAGAATGGGCATTCTTGCTAGGGGTTAGAAAGGAAAAGAAAATTATTGAATATTCCCTGTCTTTTTTTTCCCTGTTCTGGATTAGGACTCGGCTTAAGAAAAGCTTGCATCATTAACAAAGAAATTGGATCTAACCCAGTGGAAATCTGTGATTTCTCATCTGTCCTCCTAATACCACTGTCACATTCAAAATACATAGCATAAATGATTTTCCTGTATATGTCACAAGTACAGTTATTTTACTATTTGCTCTTTATTCTTTTTTGTTCTTTTTTCTTTTGGGTAGATGTTACTGAATTTACATAAAAAAAGTTGGATGGAAGGTTTAACTCTTCAGGACTACAGCGAACACTGTAAGCTCAATGAAACAGTGGTAAAGGAAATGCTGGAACTAGCAAAGAACTATAACAAGGTACTATGTTGAGCCCTTGTCAGACAATTACTTGACTATATGATTTGTCAGATTAGCTTCTGGAAGTACGGATTCAAAAATCAACTCAGTGTAATGTGGAGAAAAGGAAATACCCAACCTTGAAAAAACAAAATGGCATTAACAAAAGTAAAGGGTCAGAGTTCCAGTCACAGCAAAGAAATGCTGAGTTCTGTAAAAAGATGCGCAGGTCAAGAGTAGTGAAAGGGCTTCTTGCTCATGTTGTTGGAGGAACTTGTGTTAGTCAGTGATATTTGCATAGTCTGTGTTATTTCTGGCTTTGTTCCTGATTTTTTTCAATCTCTTTTTGTTCTACTGCAAAAGTATGTTGCTCTGACCAAATTGGTATTAACCACACCCCACCGAGCACTTCTAAAAATAATTCAAATAATATTGGGGAAGGCATTGACTTTTATCCTGATGTACTAGGTAGTGCTTTTGTTGAATCACCAGAGTGAGGTTTTTTTAATATGTGGCCCTTAAAATAATATTAAAGCTTCAGCTTCAGTGGAAAAAGACAAAGTTTACATTTTGAGATGCTTTTGAAATAATAAGATACTAAATGCCAACCTTTTCTACATTTGTTTTACAGGCTGTGGAGGAAGAAGATAAAATGACACCTGAACAGCTGGCAATAAAAAATGTTGGCAAGCAGGTGAGTTATACTGGCATGAAAAAAAATTATTTGTGTGTTTATTTAGTCATATGTGGATGATTTTTTTCTTCTTAATTCTCTATAAGAGCCATTTATTTCCACTATAATGGACTATTTAAAATCTGTGACTTAACATTATATCAACAATGGACATAAAATTGACATTTGATATCTGCCACTGTTTCATATACAGGTAGTGCTCATTTAGCGACCACAATTGTGACCAACAACTTGGTCATTAAGCAAAGCAGTCACTAAGTGGAACTGCGACTATGCTTACGATCTTACTTCAGCATTCCTTTGCTTTACAGACTTGCGAAGGTCATAAATGCAAGGATTGGTTGTAAAGTTACTTTTTCATTACCATCATAACTGCGAACAGTCACTAAATGAGGCAGTCGCTAAACGAGTACCTGTAAAGTAGTTTTTCTTCCTCAATAAACCATCTTTTATCCCTAGCCTTACATACAGTGTGTTTCCCCTAGTATTCAGGATCTGAATATAATTTTGTAATCAAGTATAATGTAATCAAGTATAAATCGAGAATGTTAAAACTGATACCTAAAGCACTGAACAACCTGGTTTTCCTTTTAACTTTAAGGCAATAATTTGGGATTATTGGCATAATAGAGACACCTAGGCTTGTATCCAAATACAGTAGTCCAGTGGAGCTTAGGACACCTGTTACACAAGCAGCAGTCTCTGTATCAAGCAGCTTGGTTGGAACCCAGAATCTCCCCATGGCTTTCATTTAAATTCATTATAAGGAAGTCACAATTTATCTTACATACCTTTTTTCACTGGTGCTGGCTGTGGTGTGTTAAAAGGAAAATCTCTGGATTGCAACTTTATAATTCTGTTTTGAAATAAAAGTCAGTGTTACAGTGGATGGCTAGAGGCTGGGTTATATATCAGAAACCTGCCATTTAAATATTACCTCAGTTTTAAGTTGATTAAGTGGTCTTAAGATGTTCAATTGTGTCTCTTCCCTTTTTCTCAGTATTAGAGATGATAATATTGCCTTAATGTTCGTCATGGTAGTATTGATTCCCATAACTCCTTCAAGCACATTTACTTGGAAGTGAGTTTAATGTTGTATGTGCATTCCACCATGTCCAGGTTCAGAAAGCCACTTATCTAAGAAGTAAGCTAAATGTATTTGAATTTATTTTGGTCAGTTTACAGTAGGAGGGCAGCACTGTTGAACTACAGCTTCATCTCCAAGCTATAAAATAAACCACCTCAAGAGATACTTAATCTCTGTTTTGGAAAAGGAAGTCAAGGCTCTTCCTTTTGAATTTATGAATTATTATTTAGCTACTGTTTTAATTGTGTTTTTATTGTTCAATATTCTGTTTTGCCTGTTAGAAAATATAAAATAGACCTCATAACCTAAACTGGTTTGAATCCCCCTGACCAAACACCCTACCATATGAATCCAGTACAGAGTTGGTTGTGCTATATGCAAAGTTATTAAAGGTATTAGCCAGCAAACTAATTATTTTATACTGTGCAAGTACTTTTATACTGTCCAGCTCAGAGAGCTCTTGGTGGTTTACAATGCAGAGTCTATATTCATAAAGATAATGAAATATCTTATCATATCTTAATCTCTATTGTGCTGATAGTTGACTGGAGCCATGAGCTTGACTGAAATAGCCTTTCAAAACACCTAAGTCATGTTACAAGTTCTTTTTCTGGAAAACCAAGCTATCTTGTAAGCATAAGGCCAAATAAGATGTACATTATTTATTTTTACATGGTGATTCAGAAGTAACAATGATGTATACATCTTACATACAATACTATATTTAACTATTTATATACATACTGCATTTGTAAATTACTAGTCAATTTAAATAATAACTCCATCATAACACTCTTTTTATTTATCAGGTTCATTAATGAAATCAATGGGAGCTTTGCCATTTGCTTCCAATGGAACTGGGATTTCATCCCATGTTATTTTAAGATATCCTCACTCAAAACAAAAGCACTTTCCAATTAAATAAATGAAAACAAACCATAAAATACACATAAGAAAAAAAAACACCCTATGTTGAAGTAGAAAACCTGAAGTGCTGCTAAAATGTTATTTTTAGAAAATGTTTAATTTAGGCATAGTTTGTTACTGGAGTAAGAGGGGAAAAAAAGTATGCCCGTGCCTGAATTGGTTATTGTGGCTTCATTAAGGAATGGGTTAGCTTGGAATAAGGATTCCTCACCGGATCCAAATCTTTGGTCATGCTTTCCTGAATCCCATTTACCAGGCATCTCACATAGCTATTATTGTCTGAGACAAAGCTTTCAGGAAAAGCCCAATTCATTTAAAGGGGATCAGACAAGATAAAAGCCATTAAACCCTTCCTTCCCTAACTTCACATGGTTGCTTCATGATCTAGATAACTAAAGCTGATACTAGCAATTTCTGACCTTAATATCTATAGTAGTTCAGATTTTATTTAATTGTACTGCTTAATTTCAGAACTATAAAAAGCCTGCATGTTTTGTGATCTTTAGGAGTTTTCTCTCCCAGCAATATTGTCCTCCTGCAGCAGTACAGAGGCTGCTGAGCTACATCTCGCAGTAGCTCTCATAGTTAGCCATGTGGGTTAGGGCTGCTGGAAGTATATTGTTATTTAAATGTGTACCCCGTCTTTCCACCTGATAGCATTCAAGGCAGCATTTTTGGATTTAGCTTGGTGTAGGATAGGGAACTCCTGGAAAACGCTAGGGAATTCCTGGAAGTTTGACATTCAGACAAATCAGCCATCAGTAGACACATAGAGATAAGTCATGTTTACATACTAGCACTGATGATGTTACCTAGTCAGTTAATGAAACGTCTGCAAGCAAACAAACAAGCTCAGAGAGCACTGAGGACTCTACAGTATTTCTATCTGATAATTTTAAATGACCAACAAATTACTGTAGTTGGCGATATAACGAGTTTAATAAATAACATAGAAGGAAATGTAAATCCAGCAGTTGTTATAAATACCAGTTCCATCAATACTGAGACAGTATTCAGGCAGATATAAACATATGCAGCCTTGGGCAGTCTTAACAGCTCATAATTTCGCCAAGATTTTTACTGCCTCAGATTGCTTGCATAATAGGACCCTGAACTTTAATTGCTTCTTAACTGTATCAGTTCTGCATTAAATGGAAGCAGCCATTTGTAAATGTGATATTTCAGTAATACTTATATACAATCTTTTAAAATTATATTTTAGGATCCTAAACGTCATTTAGAAGAACACGTGGATGTGCTGATGACTTGCAACATTGTCCAGTGTTTAGCAGCAATGTTGGATACTGTTGTATTTAAATAATTACTTACTCATAAATGTTATTTCCTGACTATAATCATCCATTGTTTAAAGCACTGAGGCTAAGATATATTTGGATGTCAGAGACATCTGGCATCATTTGCAGTCTAAGAGCATCACTCTAACACCTTTTCATCTCTGTTGTACAATTACTTTGGATGTTGTTTTTTTTAATGCAAGATCTCTGCAGATTCTAAAACAATTCAAGAACCAAGTTATAAAATGTATTTTCATTTTAATATTTTGAAGATAATGGCAGCACATATATACATTAATTATTGCTATGTGGCTTTTAAAAAAATCTGTTAACCTACTTAGTGTTTTGCTGATGTTGTGACTGGGAAAGAACTGTCAATTATTGACAGTACTGTACAAAACTCAGCAAGGAGAGAAATGCCTCTTAGTAAGCTGATGATCTATGAAGACCTGTGCCATGGACATGATTTTTTCAAAAACCTGTTCAGATTACAGATTCCTTTATATGAATCAGGGTTAAGTCCCACAGTATTTTTACCAGCTTGGACTCAACCTTGAAATACAAGAAAGAAAACAACAATGCTCATAGACAAATGCAGAGCACTTCCCTATGACTGACTATAGTGTTTGCTTCTAAAAGCCCCAGGATTAAAGCTTTTCAAGTCAGAGGGATATGACTTCAAGTAGGCCTAAACCTGTTTCTGCCACCTTTAACTATGGATCAGGACTGTTCACCACCATTAGTAGGGTAGAATTGCATAAGGTTTTAAAGATAACTTGAGATTGTCTGGCTCTGACCCAATAAAATATTAATTGTTGAAAGTGGTAATAGCTAACATTAATTTGATACATTTGAGCAATACTTATAGACAAGGAGCAGTGGGTTCCTTATGCAGATGAGCCACAAGTGCTATTAATCTTGCCAAAATGCCAGTGAAAACCTGATCATAAATTTTGTTGAACCTTCTAGCTATAATGACATTTCTGTAAGTTCCACATCTGCTCTGTCAAGCACAGAAGTCAGTAGAATTCCCAAGAAGTACAATTCCCTGTCTCTGTCACCAATTTTCCTCCCGCCATACAGCTGTAAAGAGCTCTCCAAGTGTATGAACAAAACCCAGAAGGTAATGAAAGGCTGTGTCCATCATCTGAAAAATAACAACAAACCTATTACAGACAAATGGTCATCAAAATATGAACATTCTTTGTCAACCTACTCTGCAAACACCATTGAAATGCATGCTGAGACATCAAATTACAATTTATTTTAGGTTTTTTCTTTTTAACTGAAAAATAGACATTTATTGAAAGAAAGCTGGGGGGCTCTTCAACATTATGTACACAACTAAAGTATAAGAAAAAAAAGTTGACTGCTTCATGAGATACTGCTATGAAAACCAATTTTTAATTTGTAAATGAAATACAAGTTTATAAATGAATAAAGGAATATCAATTGCTAATAAATATCCTGGGTCTATTTTTTAATTTGCATAATTGATAAGTTTACTTTATTACTTTAACATTACTTTAACACAACATTTAAAAAAAAACCCTAATATATAATTAGTTATTCACTATGCTCCCTATATATTGAAGTTCAGGTATACATCAACCGAAATCTTATACAAGAGCTCAACATCATTTTCAAGATAAGGCTTTTCTCCTTGGAATACTTTAAATTTGAAGTATTTTACTTTATAAAAGGAATATCAATCTAGGTAAGCACTGAGCAGAATTTCCAATAGTCATGGAGTGAAACATCAATATCCTGCAATGCTTTCTAGCTAATTAACACTTCCTTGAGGATAGGAAATGTTACCCCCTGCCTTAAGGAGGCAGTTATTAGACTTATTTTTTTTTCTTTTTTAGAAATCCTCAATGATCCAGCAGATCTGTTTAATTATAGGCTAGTCTCAAGATATTTCATTATTGGAAAAGGTGATCATAAATGTGATGACCTCACAGCTCCAAGTACATCTGGATTACACTGATTATCTGGACCAATTTTAATTAGGCTTTCAACTGATGTATTAAAAATGTTTTGATCGTCTAGGTGATCACCCATACTGAAACTGGACAGTGGGAGTGCAGCCTTGCTAAATCTTTTGGGTGTCACAGGTTTTTTAAATACCATCCATCATGCTATTCTGGACTGTCTGGCAGGATTAGGCCTTTAGGATACAATTTTATAGTTCTGCTCCATCCATCTAGGACGCTGACTTACAGTGTCCCACAGAGATCTCCCATTGATATGAAAAGGCTGGGGAAGATCCTAGGAGTTCAGAGAGGGCTGCCATCAGTGTGCCAAAGCAATCTGTTCCTTGAACATCGCCTAAGTTTGCTACTGGGCTGGCTGAGGGAGAAGTAGCTGAAATTAAATCCAGGATGGTGGTGCTGCTAGTAAATAGAAATTGAGACACTGAAATTCAACCCGTTTTGGAATGAATTGCACTTCCCTTAAAAACAGGTCTATAGACTACATGTGGTGCTTCAACTTCAGCTGTTGCTGGATTTGCAGTTGCCAGCTGTGGCAAGGAGTGTGTTGCAAAATTATGGCCAACTGTCAGCTACAATCATTCCTGACTCAGATTGGGCAGCAATTTTCCATGGAGTGGTTATATCCTTTCTTGACTATTACAAAATGTTCTGTATGTCTGTCTTTGAAAATACCTTGAAATTGCAATTGGTGCAAATGCAGCAGCAAAGTGGTTAACTGGGACAAAATGCAGTAATCATGTGACACCTACATTAAAAACATCAGCACTGATAGCTAGTTGATTACTTGGTACAGTATAAGATATTAACTATCAAACAAACAGAACAGAATCTGACAATCTAATGGAATAACTCTCAGACTTGTCCTGCTAATACCTGCAGGAGTAAACTTGAAGATGCTCCCACTGTTGGCATCTGATCTGTGATGGAGAGCCTATTCCTGTGTCATTCCCAGGCTATGAATGCACTTCCTCAGTGGTCAGAAGTGATGTTTGTCCTCCACTTAGCATTTCAGGAATCTGTCAAGATGCATCCCGTTTACCTTTTTTTTTTAATTGATTTTAGTATTAATTTAATAACACTTTGCATTTAATTTAAACTTTGTGAAGTCACTTTGAATAGAAAGGTGAGGTATAAATAATAAATGCATATATGCACACACACATTTTACAGGATGTTAAATCATACATGTTTTATAAGATAAATTTGTTTTAACCTTTGTTATCGTTCCTAATGTACGGTGGCAGTATAGTGCACTCCAGATGTTTCTGACTGGCCTTGCTGGATGGGCCTGATTAGACTTGTAGCTCAATACATGTAGAGAGGTCTGAGTGAGAGTGATTGCACACCTACCTGCTTTAAAGTTAAACTGATCAATATAAAGCTGCTTATATAAAGTGAGATCAACTTATCCATTCCTTAGAATGGTTTGAAAACAGTGTTCTCTGCAAATAACGGGATATGCTCTCCTTTGCATTTTTCTATTGTCAGCAACTCTTGGTAACTACCAAGGAGAAAGTAACTACCATGGAGAAAACCACAACCCCACCAATACTGGCAGGGCAAGCTACTATATAAAAACAGGGAGTAAACTACACTGATAATGTTACCTAGTCAAGTAATGAAATGTCTGCAAGCAAACAACCAAGCTCAGAGAGCACCAAGGACTTTCTTAGTAATCTCTCACTTCTGAAATTATCCAGCCTTTAGTTCAGGTTGACCAGAACTCTTTAAAAATCAACTACAACCTATTCAGTCTATTAACGGGAATATAATCGTGAAGTTTTGGGATCTGGATGCAGGGTTTTTTTTTGTTTTTTTACTGGTTAAGGCACAGGGCTAGAAAGCAGGAGATTCTGAATTGAAGTTTTGGGATCTGGATGCAGGGTTTTTTTTTGTTTTTTTACTGGTTAAGGCACAGGGCTAGAAAGCAGGAGATTCTGAATTCTAGTTCCTCCTTAGACATGAAAGCTGGGTGACTGGGCCAGTCACACACTCTCAACCCAACTCATCTCACAGGGTGGTGGTTGTGGGGAAGATAGGAGGAGGAAGGAGTATCTGGTATGTTCGCTGCCTTGAGTTATTTATAAAAATAATAAAGGCAGAATTTTTTAAAAATCTAAAAAAAAATCTCTAGAAATTGCAAGGCAAGCCCTAACCCTTGCACCAATTAACCTCAAGCTCTAAGAGGTTAAGCACTCTTGTTTTTGTTATTATTTTATCTTCCACCCTTCTTTTGCCCAGATGAGACAGGTTTTTTTTTTTAATGTCAAGGGCTGCATTATGTTAGGTCTTGTTACCCAGTTTAAGAATAAAAGTCTGCATATGGTAATCTTTTCCCCAGTACTGTTAATTGCTGCAGAATTAACACACATGAGTGTTGTCTATTAGTGACGAAAGCTGATCTAAAATTTAAGCATGAAATTTTTGAGCATTAAAAATACGGATTTCATCAGCTCTTTCAAGATGTATGACACACAAGCACACATATGCATACATATATACATGTTTCTCAGAAAAAGATGGAACTATATGTTAATGACTAAGAATATGGAATTTAAACATTCCAACTGAATAAACCTGGAATAAACAAGTGGCACCAGAGGGACAAAATGTGAATCTGGCATTGATAATTCAGCCATAGAATTGAGGTATTTATATAATGCAAAACAATGGTTTCCTATGTTAAAAATCACAAGTTCTCACCATTACATTTTTAAATGATGGTGATATTATTTTTAGCATTTGTTCAATCTACTTTACATGTCTCAGTTTCCTTATTGTAGCTCATCTTCTTCCATTCTCTCTATATGAAACCTGTTATAAACCAGTTGTAACCAGCAGCAGGACATCAAATGAAACCTAATTAGAAGTTTAAACTGCCCCAACCATACCAGGCTTCTTCAAGGCACTGGCTCACAAGATATTAAGTAAGCTATTTGACTGAGGACTGGAATTTTGGAGGCCCTAATTTTTCCATTATTCCTCCAACAGACTTGTTTAGTCTATTGCTATATTTGAGCAACAGCAGTTGACCACTCAAAACAGGCGAAGTGTGACAGGAGTACTTCCTGCAACAAGATAGTTCTAATGCCTGACATTAGTACCAGAAGATGGCATTGCTCCTAACTTGCACCACCTTAAAATACTAATGATTAGATTGTGGCATAAGCTTTTGCTGAAACAGACCAACAAGAACTGTTCCTCAGGGAATTTATTAATTAACTCCAACTTAGCAGCTTTGTTTTGGAGTTTCCCTTTGAAACTTCTTGTTGTTGTTGCAATATGGCAACTTTATGGGCTACAACAGAATGTCTTGGGAAACAGGAGACTGACGTGTGAGTCTTATCACTTTGAGGCTAGAATTCTATACTGATTTATATGGGAGTAAGACATACATACTGCCAGATTTCTGTCCACAATTGCCTGCGGTAGACTCTGAAGTTTATGGCTGAAAAAGCCACAACACCTGATTCTTTGTGGGAGCAATACAAAAGACTAAAACTGACTGGATATCTTTTGTTGAACTGAGTGGAACATTTTTCAATAACCCATTTTGGGAAGCATATTTTGCCATCTTCCTAAGAACTCTCATTCCTCTTTTTTTAACATTCCTATCAGCATTTTGACATAGAAAGAGATTAGTTCTGGAAATGTGGAATTAAATCTCATATAGAATAAGTTCAGCTAAGAAATATGAATATGGATTTTGTTTTTTTTTTAAGGGGAGCTTGAATTCCAGGGTTTATATAATAATTTAACCCATTTATTTTAATGACTCTCCTTTGAATTTTTAATATGCACTATAAATCGTGTGTCAGAATTGCAAAAAGAGGAATATATAGTCAAACCTGAAGCAAATTTCTGAAATGTAAGTAGGCAGTACAATAAACCTGTGATTTAACTAAAATTTGCAGTGCCAAATGCTAGGTTTCCAATCTTCCTCCAGCTCTTTGTTGGAAAAATAGTCATCATCATATGGTAAGCGACGGGTGGAATTAATTCTGGGGAAAAGCCTGGTGTTTTCAACTTTATCTGTAATCTGAAACAGTTTGTTTTTTTAATGGCAAAGAAAAACTGACCACTTGTAATGCAGACCCTATCTTGCCCCAAACTGGCAACCTGTGATTAGTGGAATGGACAGCCAATCAGGGACCATCCTGGTATCCGCAGCAAAAAGTAAAAGAGGAGGAGGAGAAGGAGGAGGAATAGCATACTGGCCAAGGGCTCCTACTGTACTCAGAGAGTATGATTGGCTCACCCTGGCTGCTCTCATTTTGCCTTGGTAGAGATGGTGCTGTTATTATTATCACTACTGCTGCTGCTACTATTGCTACTGCTATTATACCCTTCCCATGTTTTCTATGTTGTTAAAAACCCTGGACACAATCCAGGCAAATTTTGAGCGATTTTTAAAGTGGGAAATTCCTCT